CATATATGACTCATGCATTTTCTCATAAATTAAAAATAAATCTTCATATGATAATTCACATATCTCTTCTTAATTGGAGTTAACAACTGTATCATTTTCCATTAAGCACAAATTAGTTACATCCTCCCCAAGTTTTTATTCAGATGAATCCGATGTTAAGTCTTCCCAAAAAACCTTTTGCATCCTCTGCTTGCAAATTTTAGAGTTGAAATTTTCTTCACCATTTTTCTTAGTTGGGTAAAGCTTAAGGTTGGAGCAGTCGGACCTTAGATGCCCTAGCTTCCTGCATTCAAAGAGAACGTACAACATCATATGAAACTTTATTAAATTTACCTACCTTTCCCTTACTCCTGTCATGGTAGCGCTTTTGTTTTTGCTTCAGGAAGCTCTTAAACTACCAGGTTATCAAGACTACATCATTGTCCTCATCGGCTTCAGAGTCGTTGTTGCTATCCGTATTATTGGTCTTCAGCGCCACAGTCTTCTCCTTCCTTTTTTCACTTGCATCCAAAAATCTTTGACTCATGTTTTGCTCGTAAGCAATAAGAGAGCCCAGCAAATTATCAATAGCGAATACATTCAAATCTTTAAATTCACAAATTGCATTGACTTTAGCATCAAAACTATCATGCAAACAACATATAATCTTATTAATTTTCTCAAAATTAGTTAGTTCCCTTCCTAAGGCATTTAAATATATCACTATTTTGGTAAAGCTAACCTACATGCCATATACAGTTCTACTAGGTTTCATGTGGAAGAGTTTAGAATCATGCAATAATAAAATCAAATGGATTGCTTCACTTCATTTGTACCTTCATAGGTAACACAGCCTATCCCATATTTTCTTGCTAGCATTGCAAGTAGAAACGCGCATGCAATTCTCGAATTTGAATGCATAGAAAAAATAGTTTAAACACTTTGCATTAAGTTGTGCATATTCTCTCCATTCCTTAAAGAAAATTTCAGTTTTAACACCAATTACAATTTGGGAAGGTACAGAATATCGTGCTTGTATCATATGTCACATGCAATAATTAATCGATTGCAAGAAAGTAGGCATATGAATTTTTTAAAAATCAAATAGGATATTGCCAAATAAAGGTGGACGTGTTATTGAGTAACCATCCGTGGTGTTCCTATTCCCAAAGTGTATCATGAATCTTTTCTCAGGGTTTTTAAACCACTAATTCAGAAAATCGCTCCGATATCAATTGAAAGTTCAATTTATGAGTGTTAGACCATTTGAACTACAATAACACACCGGGGGAGATGAATTGGTATTTAAAAAAAAAGTCTTTTAAAAAAACTCTTTAAAAAAACTTAATACCAAATTTAAAACTTAAGTTCAAAAATAGATCTTTTAATGTGGAAGCAAATAATAGGAAAAATAAAATGCAAATTTTTTTTTTTGCTCTTTTGATTTTGTAGAAAAGATAAAAAAAGAAAATATATCTCTTCTTTTTTAATTTTTAGATTTTTATTTTGGTTTTCTAATAATAGCTTAATCCAAACAATTTTCAACATTCTCAATACGGATTTGCATGACAGTAAAATTGTAAAAAATTAAAATAACAAGTGAAATTGCAGTAAAAATAAGAGCAAACACATTATAGATTTACAGTGGTTCGGTCAACCTTGATCTACGTCCACTCTCTGGAGTCCTCTACTCTAAGTATTGCACTAAAACTTTAGTATCTCTCTGATAGGAAATACTAGTGAAAAAATAGAAAAAATCCCATGTTGAAATCAGAATTCAGCAACTTTCAAATCAGCTTTTGAGACGAAAGTAGAAGAATAACAATAGGGACACCCTTTATTTAATAGTAAATGAAAGAAAGAAAACAAGATACATTGGATCTTTAATTCGAGAAGACTCCCAATCCCTAGCCGGCGGCAAGAGCCTAAACAAACCTAAGAAGACTCCCAAATTTAGAAAATAACCAAGATAAACCCTAACCCTAGGCAATTTCATCTATTTAAAGAATGCAAATACAACTCAAATTTACTAAATAGTCCTCCCCAATTTCAAATCCCTCCTAAATTGCTCCCTCTTTATTTTTTTATTCAACGAGTGGGCCCTACAAGGGGGTGGGAATGTTTACTTGGTCCACCTGACATAAACAAGGGGCCGGCCCTTGTGATGGGTTGGCTTGATCGGTACTTCTTGAATCGGTCTAACAATACCCCCTTCCAAAGAATCACCTTTTCCTCAAGGTGAAAGGATGGGAATTGATGCTTCACTCTCTCATATGGCTCCCATGTGGCTTCATTGCTTGGTAGGTTCCTCCATTTGATTAACACCTCTTTGACCACACAGCAAGGTGGAGAAGCATGAAGAAAATCTTATCCACCAATCTGGAGCGGCGGAGTAGGTGAATTCCTTTCACCAACGACGTGGCGGAGCAGCTAAATCTTTTTTACCTCTCCTAGTGCAGTAGAATATCGATGGCCCTTTGACTCCAAGAACTTCCCAGAATTTCCCTCAAGTAAAACTTTGACTCATTGAGCATGAAGGTGAATGATGACCGGAGCAACTGTATAAAGACAGCCTCTCTCACACTCCCATTATCCCACAAGACTATTCTCTCTCACTGTACACCTTTCTCTCCCAAGCCCAAAGCTCACCTTTTCAATTCTCTCTTACAGAAGACTCAAGCCCCCTTAAAGACAAAATAAGAGTTGTTTAAATACAATACTCCAAGAAAAAGCCTAATTTTCAATTCAGACATCTTTGTTCGTAAAGTACGATCTGTGGATCGTATAATACAATTAAAGTAATTCTCCCTTTAGTAATGTACGATGACTGCTTCCCTCTATGATCAGTTCAAGATTTTTCAGATGATCATACAGTACGATGTTAGGGGTGTACTGTACGATTAGTTCAATAGAATAATAGTTTGTCCTAGACAAACCTTGGGTAATTAATTATCGTCCTAGTTGCCGCTCAGTTCATGCAGTACGAAGATTAATTCATACAGTACGACCACTAATCACAATTAATTTCTAATTCGATTGCTTAATCAATTAATCTTAGGAAGTTATTTAGACAAGAGTTTCAAATATCGTATGATACGATTTGATATCGTATGATACGATTTGATATCGTATGCTATGAATAGAATAAATTTCAAATTTTAAAATATTGCCTAATTGTAGATGGCGTCGGGGATTTCTAAATAAAAATTGATTGTCTTGTACGATAAAAATTATATAATACGATTAATTCATCTTAATCTCAATTTTCATTTTCTCAATTTAAATGTTTTAATTAATTTATGAATGTCCTGATCGTACAGTACGATAGTGATTGTTCAATATGATCTTCGAAAAAAAATAAAATTTTAAAGTCTTATATTTTACTCCTTCCGTGTGTGCGCGGTTGTTACACTAACATGCAACATGTACAATACAAAGACTCCAGAAAGATAAAAATACACTCTTGCATACATCAACCTATTCTATCCATCATTGAGCCCTGATCCTTTGGCGGACTTGGTGATGCTGTACCTAAAATGTTAGTACACAAAGGAAAACATATGCAATAAAAACAAATAGAAGAATCCAAATAAAGATCGATAATGTTTGTTATCATCAAAGCATAAGCTTGGGCACCCGAATTGCAATAATAAAAAATAGGAGATTGTTTGGCTGATATTTTCTCATGTATATAATCAATATCAACATATCGTAACAAAGAAAATGGCCAAAGAAGAAGAGCTCTACCAAAGATTTTAAAGAAGTTGGAGGAAAAAAAACATCCTTTGACTGACACCAAGACCAATCACATCTTGTAAATGCTACAGTCCTAGATGAGACCTATCAACCTGAGAATCTTCTTTAAAACTTGCTACATAAAGAGTTGGCTATTCGAGTAGCAATGATAGTTGAAGCGCAATGGGTATAAGCAGGAAGAGAATATCTTGCAGCAAACTAAGTATGTAACGGCTCCCCACAATGATGAGTAGAAAGTACATAGTATGGTTAAAGAGATTGAAAGGGAGTTTCGAAAGAAAAATGTCAAAGTGAAATCATTGTATGTCCAGCAAAAGGTAGAAGTTTCAGAGTATTTAAAGGACAAGAAGAAAATTATTATCTTTGAGAAGCAAATACATGTGTCCTCTAGCACATCATAGGTTGAATAATTAGCTCACTTAAAAGCAAAATGCTAAAAATATGCAAGCAACTCTTAAAGTGAGAAAGATGCCCATTCTTGAAGCCATCTTTAAATAAGGTTAGAAAGAAAATATCATTGATAAGGAGAAAGATAGCTTACATATACATGACCAGCCAACAATAATATCAGAATCTACACCAAATTCGACTCCATGACAAATTAAATATTTATTACGCATGAGATGGTTGTTGTTGTTGAGAGATGGTAATCATTTGACATTTTAGCAAATGTTGTACTCACTATTGTGTATTTAGCAATGCTCGTCTATAAATGACCATGCAATAGTACTCCTCTATTGCCCTCTCTTTCCCTTTACACAACAGCCTTACCTCACCACTCCTTACAGATCCTCTCCAAACTCATCCCCTCACCTCTACCTCTTATCTTATTCTTCTTCTCCTTTTCAATCCTAATTTGCTCCTCTCAAATTTCAAAGCTTTACCGTCCCATTCAAGGTCTCTACCCAAGAACTAATCAGTCTTTACATCTCCATATTATGTTCTCCCCATAGCACCATCCATATTTTAGTATCCAGCTACCTTCATGTTCTCCCTCCACCTTATAATAAGGAAATGATGAACTAAATCCTATCTTCATCAATTATCAATAGAGTTCACATATAAGCCCCCTTATTTTGATGATTAGCGACAAAGCAAACTTATCCAAGACTAGATAGTTTTGTTCAACTCCAGTAAATTATTGCTAGTATAATAGATTGATGGTTGCTTTTCCCCGTTGTGAAGGATTAAGATTACTGTTGAATCACTGACCCTAGAGTAAAGCTGCAATACGTCCCTGATCAGCTTTAGGATTCAAAATAGGCAGGCCATGTACAATTTTATGATGAAGTAGTAATATAATTAACGCATTTTACCATGATTCCTGGGACTGCAGGTGGCACCCTCCTCTTCAACATTGTGAGTGTATATTTGGCAATAGTCTCCGGAGAAGCCTTCTCCTTATGCTCAGCTCCAGGAGTTACCATGCTAGGTTTTAGGAGGATGCCTTCAAAAACAACGTTATTTTGGGCCAAGTAAAAAAATACCTCCGCCCATACATTCTCTGCTACCTCAAGAGTCCTTTCAATTGCATGGTCTCCATCAAGAAGAATCTCAGGCTCCACAATAGGAACGAGGCCATTATCCTGCACAAGTTTAACACATTAGAAAACTAAAAACAAATAATAAGCTATGATTATTTGAAAATTAAAAGATTTTATTTCATTTACGAAAGAAACCACATTTCATATTATAATGACAAAACAAGGCACTGATTTAATTATTGTTGGATGAGTGGCTTTACTATTAGAGATAGAATACAACACAAGCATATACGCGAAAAAGTTAGAGTTGCTCTAGTGACAGATAAGATTAGAGAGAGTCTCTTTAGATAGTTTGGTCATATAAAACGTCGGCTTTCCGACGACCATGTTAGGAGAGTAGATGTATTAAATTTGGCTTATGTTAAGAAAGGTTTAGGTAGACCTAAAAAAACTTGGTTAGAAATAATTAGAAATGACTTTTTTTTTATTAGATTTAAATGAGAATTTCACTCTTAATAGGATATAATGGAGAAAAAATATTCATGTAGCCAACCTCACATAGTGGGATAAAGACTTGATGCTATTGTTGTTATTTGGTTCTTAAACTTGATTAGGATGCTCACACTCATGAGAATCAACATTTTCTTAAAGGACCTTAAATAACATAATTTTAAGAGAACTTCTAAAGAGGTTAAGGTAAGAACCAAAGAAACAATATTTGAAACCCTCCCGTTTCCCATTAAAGTTGAATTGCCCCTTGTTTCTTTTATTAATTCTTCATATTGATGATGGAAATTGTGCCATATTTCTCTTCCAATTCCATTGATGCAAGACCTCACTAGCCAGTCCAAAAAGTATATAACCTAATAATGCATTTGATTATTCATTAAGCCCCATGTAAATGGGAGCTACTTTTCTCTCAACCCCAATCAGTCCAAAAAGAATCTGATGGAGATCTAGAAGTTTATAGATATCAGAAACATCAAGCTAATAAATTATCAGATCAAGTTGAAATAGACTTCAATTTTCCCAGTTTAATATATAATTTTCAAACAAGCCTATGACGCGATGTGTTCTCTTAACATATAAATTCATTGGTTTGGGACTGATTTATCAGATTTGTAACAGATTTCAGAATTATTCATGATTCAAATTTGGCAAATATGCTAATGTGGGCGTGATGACCCATACCATGCATATCCAATAGCCTATAAATGTGCCTGTCTGCCTGTAATACTACCCAGTTAAAGGAAAACTGTTATCCATCCTAATTAACTCATTCTATTCTAATTTGCTATAGCACAAATTGGCAGTGATGCATTACTACCCAGCAAAAATGCCGATCTTGTAACTAGATTGAACAATTTATTCTTGTTAGTTTATTTTAATTTGTAATTCTCGATTCTAGGTATTTTGGACATGCCTATGACGAATGCCAACGAAAACAGTGTTCTCTATTTAGATGCTCCTTAGTAATAGGTTGGTTCATATGATTTGACACAGACCACGCCAATTTGGTTTGTGGCTGATCTCAAGCCTCAAATACTATGATTTTGGTTCAAGTGTTGTTTTACCTATTAATTTATGTAGTTGGGTTCACTATTATGAGATCTCATTAATTGACAAGATTTTACCACAAAAAATTTGATGATCATAATTGATAAGATTTTACTATAAAAGATTTGATGAGCATGTGCCTTGAGGGAAAAGATCTAAAGTGATTTCCCCTTTTTTTCTTTTCAGCAGTTGCTGTTATTTCCCCTTTTTTTTCTTTTCAGCAGTTGCTGTTATGATTTCTTATAGATCCTATTTATGTGGCATTATCAGTGGCATGTTGTTGCATATCTTGTATTTGCATGCGACCAGGAGTTACAAATTCCTAACCAAGATTGGCATTGATTTATTGCTTTCATTTTCATGGGATATCATCTATTTCGGTGCTCAGGGGACGTGAATTTGTAATTGACTAAAATCAAACTGGGCAAACTCTGTGCTAGTCAAATCCAGTAACCTTGAGATGAGTCAATAAATAGATAGACCAAAGCATATAATTGAGATAGAATAAATAAAATTTTAGATTCTAGTTCAAAAATTGTGTGTGTAAGTTTGATATTCGATTCCTTTAATTGCGGTATGAATGTGATGTTATACAACAACAATATGTATATCTGGACAAACAAAGTAAAAAGTAAATAAGCTATACATATATAATAAGCACTATTTTCCTTGCATTCTATTTTAAGTTTGTGATAGGTATATCAGTTTTATATAGTAAACCTAGTCTACCCAACCATTATAAATACATCTCCTATTGTAAGCAATAGATAGGGAATGAAAAAAATTCTAATTCCCCATTTAGTCTCTATTCCCTTTCCTTCTTCTTCTCAAAGTGATGTAGGCAAAGGCGGGGTCAAAACAAATCCTAAATTTTGGCCTTGGCTGCTCTTGGTTTGTCCTTGGCTGCTCTCTGTTCGGAGCCTTTGTTCCTCTTGGTTTGGGGCCTTTTGCTGCTCTCGGGTAGGCTTTGGCTGCTATAGTTTTGAGCCTATTACCTTGGTGCTAGCTCAATAAATTTTGAGTTGTTGGTTAGCTCATTATGAGCTGATGTTTAGTTCATTAATTGGTGAAGAAATCAGCTCATAAAGCCTTCCCTTCCCCTTGTCTTTTGAGTTTCTGCTGTCTATTATTGTTCCCGTGGTCCTCCCTCTCGATTTTCCCCTCCTGGCTATTTTTCCCGTGAAATGATGCCCTGTTTCTTGTGCTGGCTCTTCGGGTCCCTTGCTGGCTGAGCTTCCCGTGGCTGCTGGTGGGGTTTTCTGTGGCTTGTCTACCTGTTTTCTGTGCAGAAATTCTGCTGGCTGTTATGTGTCTTTTGGCCTTTCATTTCCTCAATTCTAATTGGATTTGGTTGGAGGTGCTATGGCTGTTTATCTTCCTTCTTTTGTCTATAAAATAGAGTTGTTTTGGGATGGAAAAGGATGTTATGATGCAATTTTTGGAAGCCAAAACCTGCAAGTTTGTTGTTTGGAAAAGCTTGCGAGCTTTGTCCAACTCCTCTTCTTCCTCCTCCTAGGAAACCTTGCGAGCTTGTCCTCCTTCGTCTTGGCTTCTTACCTCTTCTTCTCTACGCAAGTGACCACACCACATGTATCCTTCTTCTCAACAAATGAAATGCAAGTTTAGATTTTTTATGTCAAAAGTTTGTAAGTGTCAAGAATTGTAAGAGTCTTTTTATGTTATAAAAAGTTGTAATTTGTCTATTTTGGGGCAATCTTTGTAATTTTCTATTATCTAGGAAAGTATAGCTCTTGCTTGCAAAAATTTAGGGGCTCCCTCAAATTTTTGCTTGCATCAAATTTGGTATCAGAGCTAGTTAACAAATCCCAGTTTGTTGTGTGAGTCTTGTTATCAAGTGATTTAAGTTATGTTGAGTCTTTTTTAGAAAAATGGAAAATCACAAAAAGATTGATTTAGTCATAGAAGTAAGCAATCCAAAAGATCTTGAAGTCTCTCTTCCAATGGACAGATGGGTTCCAACAGAAGGTGATTCGACAGATCCCCTGCAGAATGAGCTATAAAAGCTCCAAGTGAAGATGCATTTGTGTACGGAGCGGTACATGAAAAATAAACAACTTTTAAAAGAACAATTCAAGCGAGAGCGAGACGAGGTATTGAAAAGGTACGCAGACAAAATTCAAGAGCTTGAAGCGCCTACTTTGTCTCTTAGGGAAAAATCAAAAACTTCCTCATCAGGAGATGAGCTTTTTTAAGTGGGGGAGAATTTGATGTGGGCAAGGGGGGGTCAAAACAAATCATAAATTTTGGCATTGGCTGCACTTGGTTTGTCCTTGGCTGCTCTCTATTTGGAGCCTTTGTTGCTCTTAGTTTGGGGCCTTTTGCTGCTCTCGGGTAAGCTTTGGCTGCTATAGTTTTGAGCCTATTAACTTGGTGCTAGCTCATTAAATTTTGAGTTGTTGGTTAGCTCATTATGAGCTGATGTTTAGTTCATTAATTGGTGTAGAAATCAGCTCATAAAGCCTTCCCTTCCCTTTGTCTTTTCAGGTTCTGTTGTCTGTTGCTGTTCCTGTGGCCCTCACTCTCGGTTTTCCCCTCCTGGTTATTTTTCCCGTGAAATGATGCTCTGTTTCCTGTGCTGGCTCTTCGGGTCCCTTGCTGTCTGGGCTTCCCGTGGCTGCTGGTGGGGTTTTCTGTGGCTTGTCTCCCTGTTTTCTGTGCAGAAATTCTGCTGGCTGTTATGTGCTTTTGGCCTTTCATTTCCTCAATTCTAATTGGATTTGGTTGGAGGTGCTATGGCTGTTTATCTTCCTTCTTTTGTCTATAAAATAGAGTTGTTTGGAATGGAAAAGGATGTTATGATGCAATTTTTGGAAGCCAAAACCTGCAAGTTTGTTGTTTGGAAAAGCTTGCGAGCTTTGTCCAAGTCCTCTTCTTCCTCCTCCTAGGAAACCTTGCGAGCTTGTCCTCCTTCGTCTTGGCTTCTAACCTCTTCTTCTCTACGAAAGTGACCACCCCACATGTATCCTTCTTCTCAACAAATGGAATGCAAGTTTAGGTTTTTATGTCAAAAGTTTGTAAGTGTCAAGAATTGTAAGTCTTTTTATGTTATAAAAAGTTGTAATTTGTCTAATTTGTCTATTTTGGGGCAATCTTTGTAATTTTCTATTATCTAGGAAAGTATAGCTCTTGCTTGCAAAAATTTAGGGGCTCCCTCAAATTTTTGCTTGCATCAAATTTGGTATCAAAGCTAGTTAACAAATCCCGGTTTGTTGTGTGAGTCTTGTTATCAAGTGATTTAAGTTATGTTGAGTCTTTTTTAGAAAAATGGAAAATCACAAAAAGATTGATTTAGTCATAGAAGAAAGCAATCCAAAAGATCTTGAAGTCCCTCTTCCAATTGACAGATGGGTTCCAACAGAAAGTGATTCGACAGATCCCCTGCAGAATGAGCTATAAAAGCTCCAAGTGAAGATGCATTTGTGTACGGAGCGGTACATGAAAAATAAACAACTTTTACAAGAACAATTCAAGCGAGAGCGAGACGAGGTATTGAAAAGGTACGCAGACAAAATTCAAGAGCTTGA